CATATATAGTTTCGTCCGATTTTTGGTAAGTGGTGCACCAAAGTCCCTGAAAATCATTCGATTCGCACGAATTTTGGCACAGCGTAAAGAATTAAGTCTAGAATGACGTGTGCTAAGTTTCGTAAAAATCGTTTCAGAGTTAGATATAGCTCCGATATATAGTTTCGCCCGGTTTTAGGTAAATGGTAAAGTTTTTATATATTTTCCGATTTGCACGAAATTTGGCATAGCGTACTGGATCGAGTCTAGAGTGATGTGTGTAAAATTTCTTGAAAATCGGTTCAGATGTAGATATAGCTCCCATATATATTTTCGCCCGATTTTAGGTAAATGGTATGCCAAAGTCCCTATATATCTTCCGTTTTGGACGAAATTTGACATAGAGTAGTGAATTAGGTCGAGAATTATGTATGCAAAATTTCTTGAAAATCGGTTCAGATTTAGGTATAGCTCTCTTATATAGTTTCGCCCGATTTAATGTAAATGGTGTACCAAAGTCCCTACATATCCTTTGATTTGCACGAAATTCGGCATAACATACTGGATTGAGTCGATTAATGTGTGTAAAATTTCTTGAACATTGGTTCAGATTTAGATATAGCTATACACGTTTTCCCGTTCTTGAGCAGGACCCAAAATATGGCCATTAGGAACAAAACTTGCTGAAATTAGTATAACCTAACCTGTGACATGTTTCTTAGAAATCGGTCCATATTTGAATATAGCTTCCATATTTATTTTCATTCGATTTTAAGTGAATGGTCCACCAAACTCCTCATGTTTGTAATATTGACATGAAATTTTGCACAACGTACAAAATAAAGCATTTTGATATTTGCTTTAAATCGATTTACATAATTTTATTCAATGTTTATGGATTGATGTAAGTCGGTTCACATTTAGATAAAGGTCACATATATTAGTTCATCCAATTTCATGTTAATGGCCCTTCTGTTAGGATGCATTCGTTTAATATACCCATAGTGGTGAAGGGTATCATATAGTCGGCCCCGTCCGACTTTACTACTTTCCTTACTGGTTTAAATTATTTCAGAGCGTGGGTTTCCAAAAAAAAATTTATAAAATATGTTTGTGAAATTAAAAAAAGAATTCGATTTTTTTTTTAAATTAACGTATTTTAATATCTTATTTTATTAGATACATTTTTTTAGTTTTTTTCTAAATTTAAATCTTTGACTGAGAATTATTCTCAAAGCGAAAAATTTTCTCCCAATTTCTTAACCAAATATGATTTCAGCATCACAATTCACAATTCCACTTGTTTAACACAAATAAAATCTAATGCAATATATATATATATATATAGTTGACACATTTTTTATGTAAACCTCGCCTCTACATTAGTGTACCTAGTGGCATATTTTGGTAGCAGCACATGCTTCACGTGATGTTAACTAAAATATCCTGACTGTATCAGCAAAGTTGCTGCAGTTAACAACAACAACAGCAAACAATATTATAACACTTTTGAAAGCTTGCCGCATTTTTGTGGCCAGATGCTCGACTGTATGTTAGTATTAATGTGTGGATTTATCTGTATGTTGGTGTGCATTAAAAGCAAACTATGAAACAAAACAGCCCTGCGGAAGTGAAATATTTATATAGCTCTATGTATGTATACCTATCTGAACATTTAAACATACACACACACACAAAATACTTAGGTTACATTTTCAAGTGTATTTCCATGAATTTCTATAGTTACTGGTGTATGTGTCTCTGCCTGTCTGTGTGAGTGAGTGCATTTGAGTTCTATATAAAATTAAATACATGTATGGACATTTTTAACTGAAAATGGCACACAGCAGAAAAATAAACATACAATACTACACGTATATGCAGATGGTGTATTTCGTATGTTTGTATATGATTCCTTTGGGGATATGCTGGCCATGCCAGGCCACACATTTGTTTGAGATTTTAGAAAGGATTTATTTTTTTGTTTGGTATTATTTTACGGTTACTCTGATGCTGATGTTAAAACAGCCCCCTAAGCCAAAAGGATAAAAAACAAGCAATGCAATGCTGTTAAACTTTTGGTATTCCCTACACCAAAGTGTTTGGTTTTTATGATAAAAGATTTTGATTTCTTTTATAAAATTTTAAACGCGTAGATTTTTTAGAAGATATCTGTTAATTTTTTAAAAATTTATCTCAAAACAAAAAAATCAATACCTAGGCTAAAAAATTGATGACAAAGGATATATTTTTAATTTTTTAAGGATTCTCCAAGTGAAAATTTTAACGAATATTCAACAGATCAAAAATAGAAAATATAAGGCGTAGTTTTCTTACGAAATGCATTAATTGAATAGAGAAATTGTTTTCGATTTTGTGAACAAAATCTTAAAGCCCAATTTGTTTAAGAGACATTTTTGAAGAAATGGCATAAAAATTCTCTATACTATATGATACCCTTCACCACTTTGGGTATATTCTACATATATATCCTAACAGACGTCGCGTTTTTGTTATATATATATATACAAATGATACCGATTTTCACGAAACTTTGCACACATTATTCTAGACGTAATTCAGTACGCTATGCCAAAATTCGTGTAAATCAAAAGATTTTCAGGGACTTTAGTGGACTATTTACCTAAAATCGGGCGAAACTACATATGGGAGCTATATCTAAATTTGAACCGATTTTCACGAAACTTAGCACACATCATTCTCGACCTTATTCATTACGCTGTGCCAAATTTCATCCAAATCGAAAGATATATAGGGACTTTGGTACACCAATTACCTTAAATCGAACGAAAATATATATGGGAGCTATATCTAAATCTGAACCGATTTTCATGAAACTTAGCACATATTATTATAGACGCAATTCAGTACGCTATGCACAATTTCGTGCAAATCAAAAGATTTCCAGGGACTTCAGTGGACTATTTACCTAAAATCGGTCGAAACTATATATGGGTGCTATATCTAAATCTGGTCCGATTTTCAGGAAACTTTGAACACATTATTCTAGCCCTAATTCATTACACTATGCCAAATTTCGTGCAAATCGAAAGATATATAGGGACTTTGGTTCATCATTTACCTTAAATCGGACGAAAATATATATGGAAGCTATATCTATATCTGAACCGATTTTCATGAAACTTAGCACATATTATTATAGACGCAATTCAGTACACTACGCACATTTTCGTGCAAATAAAAAAAAATCCAGGACTTTTGAGGACTATTTACCTAAAACTATATATGGGAGGTGTATCTAAAGCTGACCCGATTTTCACGAAACTTAGCACATATTATTCTCGACTTAATTCAGTACTCTATGCCAAATTTCATGCAAATAGAGGGAAACATTGGTACACCATTTACCTTAAATCGGACGAAGATATATATGGGAGCTATAACTAAATCTGAACCGATTTTCACGAAACTTAACACACATCATTCTCGACCTTATTCATTACGCTGTGCCAAATTTCATCCAAATCGAAATATATATAGGGACTTTGGTACACCAATTACCTTAAATCGAACGAAAATATATATGGGAGCTATATCTAAATCTGAACCGATTTTCATGAAACTTAGCACATATTATTATAGACGCAATTCAGTACGCTATGCACAATTTCGTGCAAATCAAAAGATTTCCAGGGACTTCAGTGGACTATTTACCTAAAATCGGTCGAAACTATATATGGGTGCTGTATCTAAATCTGACCCGATTTTTACGAAACATAGCACACGTTATTCTAGACCTAATTCATTACACTATGCCAAATTTCGTGCAAATCGGCAGATATATAGGGACTTTGGTACAGCATTTACCTTAAATCGGACGAAAATATATATGGAAGCTATATCTATATCTGAACCGATTTTCATGAAACTTAGCACATATTATTATAGACGCAATTCAGTACACTATGCACATTTTCGTGCAAATAAAAAAAAAATCCAGGACTTTTGAGGACTATTTACCTAAAATCGGGCGAAACTATATATGGGAGGTGTATCTAAAGCTGACCTGATTTTCACGAAACTTAGCACATATTATTCTCGACTTAATTCAGTAAGCTATGCCAAATTTCATGCAAATAGAAAGACATTGGTACACCATTTACCTTAAATCGGACGAAGATATATATGGGAGCTTTATCTAAATATGAACCGATTTTTCCAAATTTCAACAGGGTTCGTCCTTGGGCCAAACAAAGAAGCTGTGCCAAATTTCATCCAATTCGAATCATAATTGCGACCTGTACTTTGTTTACAATTTAACATGGACATACAGACGGACGGACGGACATGCATAAATCGACTCAGGATGTGATTATATGATTCTTCTCAAAAGGAACTATGAGTCTATCTCGATTATGTTTGCCTGTCACAAACATATGCACAAAGGCATAATACCCTGTACCACAGTGTGGTGAAGGGTATAAAAAACCAAGAATTCTCAAAATAGAAGATTTAATTTATATATATATATATATATATATATATATTTTTTAATATTTTGAAGATTTACCGATATAATTTTTTAAAAACCATATTTTGAATAATTATAAAAAAGTAAATTTTTTAAATATATTATTCTAGAATATTATTTTTATATATTAAATTTTTTTTAATATTGAAATATTTGATTTTTTTTTCGATGATTTTTTAAATGAAATATTTATGTAAACTTTCACCACAAATATTATTTGATGATTCCTCAAAGTATTAAAAAATGTCATGTAGTGCCTTTTAAGATCGGCCATTACTATCCGTGTCCTCGGTTTACTTTTGCCGTATAGAAGTGATGGGTGTATGTGAGTACCTTGCTACACTCTACCACTACATTACTCTAAAAGTGCTATCGCGTTAAAAAAAGAAAATAATAAAAAACAAGAAATGGCATTTCTCCCTGGCTAGTAGTAGTCGTAGATTTTAAGTGCATCCAGAACTACTAAAACTACAACAAAAACAAGGAGCTTTAAGATGTATTCACTTACCTAATGGAATTTTCTCGGTTAATGATGATGGCTGAGCCTCGGCTCCCATTAGTGAGCGCTGAAATAGATGAAAACTGGCAGTGGCTGCTGCAGCTGCTTTTTTTGTTGTCGTCGTCGTTAGTGTCGTTAACGTTGCGGGAGTTGTTGTTGTTGTTGGCAGCAATGGCAGCCATGAATTGGTGACTATTATCCATAGCACCGTACAAAAATGTAAACCAAGAGGCATTTTGTTGCAGTTCCACCGTTGCAGGGAATGTGTGGGTGTGCGAAGATGTGTGAGTGGATGTGTAGGTTAGTTAGACTTATACGCTATAGCTGCAGGCTGGATATGATGACGATGGTGATGATGCTGCTGCTGTTGGACTAGTTGTGGATTTAAAGGGTGGCTGTAAGGCTGCAAAAAGCCACCACTTAAATGTTGATATTATTATTGTAGACGTCGTTGTTTTTGTTGCTGCTTTTTGTGCTTTGTTGTTCTTGCTATTTTTTTGTATTATATTTAACTGGATATAATGTGGCTCACGCGTTTTCAACACTTTACTGGCAGTGTTCGTTATGGCAGTTGTTGTTAGTTTCGGTATTTTATATATATATATATATATATATTTTATTTTTGTTTTTGCAACTATTGTTGTTAAGCTAACAGTGACAACGATGCTTTATAATGACCTCAATGCTGCTCACAAAAAAAGAATAACACACGATATTCGAGTATTTGCAGGTATTTGTAATTTAATCACATTCTCTGGCCAGGATCCTCGGTACGGAATTTTGGGTTTTGTTAGTCTATTTGTTTGCAAATCAATTATGAATATCCACAGCGTATACTCAATTATGAATATTTAGGACATTTTTGTATATATTTTGTTTACACTTTTAAATGCAGAAGAGAGAAAAATTAATAAAAAGTTATTTTTTTCGCACAACATTAACTTGAAATGGCATTTTAATTTTGTATTACAATTCATTGTTTCATGGTAATTTTTGTTTTAAAGGCTTTCAAATGATTTCGAAGCATTAATTATAAATGGATTTTTTTGCCAACATTAGTTTTATTAAGTTTTTTTTTGTGTCACTGGCAGCAATTAATTAATTTTTCAATTTTTATAACAGTTATTGTTAATAATGATTTCGAGTTATTTTTTCCACTTGACTACATTTTAGTTTTTTTTTATTTCAGTTTTTATTCATTAATATTCACAAATTCGCAGAATCCATTTAAATTAGCTGTAAAAAACAGTAATAGAAATACGTTTATTAATACAAAAATTTAATATTAAATGAATTAAGGAAACAAGTGAACAACTATGTATTGCAATATAATTTTTCTCTGGACACGGGTCACATGAGTCATGTATAATTTTGGTTATAAATTCTTATTCGAAGACCACAACTATTTTTTCAAGAACCAAGGAAATAATCATAAGCGTAAATAGTTTTTCAATGACCTTCCTCAAACGTCGACTTTCTTAATTTTTAAAGAATTCAGACAATTCTTGATTAAAAAAAAAAAAAAAAAAAAAAAAAAAACATTCGAGAACTTGCCATAAACGTGAATTTTTATAGAAATATTTTTTAAAAATATACTTTTTAAGAACAAACCACAGCGTGGATCTTTTTGCAACTAATTTAAAGACCCTTACATAAGCATAGATTTTTAAAAATTTTAAAATATTTTTAAGGTCCCTACATAAGCGTGGGTGGGCGTTGGATAATTTAAAAATATTTTTAAGGGCCCTACATAAGCGTGGGTTTTTTAAATAAATATTTTTGAAGGTCCTACATAAGCGTGGATTTTTTATAAATATTTCTTAAGGACCTTACATAAGCATGGATTTTGTATACATATTTCTTAATATAAATATTTCTTAAGGACCCCACATAAGCGGTTTTTTTTTTTTTTTTGAAATATTTCTTTTTTTTAAACTATTAATTATGGACAAAATTCCAAAGTGGGGTTTTTTAGAATTGTTTTATGGACTAAATTTAAGCCTGGATTTTTATACCCTGCACCATAGTATGGAGGGTATATTAATTTTGTTTTTCCGTTTGTAACTCATCGAAATAATCATTTCCGACCCTACAGCGTAAAATTCTATGACGATATAGCCATGTCCGTCTGTCTGTCCGTCTGTCTGTTGTAATCACTCTGGCGTCTAAAGTAATGGAGATATATCGCCAAAATTTTGCATAGTATGCAGGCAGGTCAAGTTCGAAGATGGGCTTTATCGGTCCACGTTTAGGCATAGCTCCCATATAAGGGTACCCCCAATTTTCGGTATTTTGAGGTTCTTGAGCGCGTTTTTCAGCTGAATTCGCTGAAATTTGGTACATTGAGTTCTTATTGGGCAGTAAATCTCTCCACTAAAAATTATAAATATGGGTCCATATTTTCGAATAGCCCCCATATAAGGGTACCCCCAATTTTGCGATATTTTGGCGGAGTTTGATCGCATTTTTCGACGGAATTCGCTGGAATTCGGTACATTGAGTTCTTATTGGGTAGCAAATCTCTATACTAAAAAATTATAAATATGGGTCCATATTTTCGGATAGCCCCCATATAAGGTTACTATTGGAGATATGCATACGTATGTGTTACGTTCTGGCAACACACACACATAAGGTCAATAATACGTAATTAGAAGAGCAATTGCACGCACATGTGTTGTACCTACTTCATGTGTTGAAGGGAGGTTTCGTGCATAGTAAAGTAGAAAAAGAAGATCACTCTCAATAAAGACGCCACAGAGAAAACAACTGCATTTCATTCAAGAGAACGACATCACCAATAGTAGAGATAAAATATTATATCACTCTAGCGTTACCCCCCAATTTTCGGTATTTTAGCGTTCTTGAGCGCGGTTTGAACCGAATTCGCTGACATTTGGTACATTGGGTTCTAAATGTCTCCACAAAAAATTATAAATATAGGTCTACTTTTTCTGGTAGCCCCCATATAACGGTACCTCCAAATTTTCAGTATTTTGGTTTTGATCGTATTTTTCCGCCGAATTAGCTGTAATTTAATATTTTGAGTTCTTAATGGGTACCAAATCTCTCCACAAAAAAATATGAATATAGGTCCATTTTTTCCGATAGCCCCCAAAAATTTGTGAAGTTTGGGGTTCTTGAGTGCATTTTTCAACCGAATTTGCTGCCATTTTGGTATTTTGTAGTCGTAAATGGTAACAAATATTCCTTCCAAAAATTATTAATATGTGCACCCTTTTTGGGGTAGTCCCCATTTAACCCCCTTTTTTATATTAAAATGGTTATTTGATTTGTTCCGCGTTTTGAGTTTGGTTCTAAGACTCGAATGTAATCATTTCACCTTTGGAGGATATCGAGATAAAAAAGTAGAACGTAAGGTTCAATAATGAACTGTAGCCCGCATTTAGATCTAGACCCTGTATGGAGGTTACAGAATGAGTGGACCGATATTCCCCATCTTCGAACATGAACTAAGATTGAAAGTAATAAGAAAATGGACAACGTTTTTTGTTTTTTTTTTTTTTTTGAAACGGATTTGGTCCAAAGAAACATGGGGTCTAGAACCAATATTTCGATAAGCCACTTTTTCACAGTGTTAAAGTGTATGCACCCTCATTTCTGAAATTCGATTACACCGACATTTCTTAAAAGGGATTATGTACCTTTTTAGAAATGTCGGTATAGGTCCACTTTTTGGTATTTTCCCTATATTTTCATTTCAAGTACCTGTCAGTATATCTATCGTGGATGGTATTCAAAGTTCGGCCCGGCCAAACTTACCGCTTTTTCACTTTTTTTAATACTAATTGTGGACTAAATTCAAAAGTGGATTGTAATTTAAGCCTGGATTTTTTTAAATATTAACCAGTATTTTTAAAGACTATTTTGTTTAATAGTATAATCCTGCATTTTTTCTTTTTTCAAAGAATAAATATAGATTTCACTTTTTTATATATTTATTTAAGGACGAAATAATACAATTGTTTCTCAACTTGGCTGTGACTTTAGAAAAATGTTGTGGAATTAAATATAAACCTTATTAATTTCCCCCATGTCACATTTAATATTTGTCATTGATTCTTAAATGTGATGCGTTGTCGCGTAACAGACAAATACATAATAGAGTCACGTGTTTCCTACACCTGTTTTGAAATCAATGCTTGCATTTATATTTCCCACGGGTAAATTTTGTTCGTATGGCAACAACATCTATACCGGAGTAACATATCAGACTTTTTTTTTCTAATATTTACTTTACACTGCGATTTATACATATATGACATTCATCGCTAATAGCTCGGCAGAAATTGAAATAAAAAAAAATATATATGAAAAATGACCTTTATTTATCTGTAAGACTTTAAATAAAATCGACAAATTTTAAAAATATTTATGTTTAATTCAGGCTTGTGTTTTTGGAAATAACTAAAAAAATAAAATATTTTAACTTTTAAAAACCCTGGGAAAGTCCTTTAAAAAAACATTCGCAAATATCATCAACCGCAAATCTGCGCCTGAATCTGGAATTATTTATAAATTATTCATAACTGTTATGGTCCTTTGTAGAAATCTTGGTACTTTGCAAAAAGTTCATTATAATCATTGCCTATATTCTTAGAAATACATTTATCTTACAGGACGATCTACTCTTATAACTTCGAGAAGGCTCTAGGATAGTTCTTATGGATCTGATTTGTAAAAAAAATTCTTTAAAGGGGTATTTACAAAATATTTTTAAAAATTAAAAAATTCACGCCTTGAATAAAAATATTTTTATAATACGGCTTATAGCAGTAAATTTCTTTTGAGAAAATGTTATTGTTTAAAAAATCCGCGCTCGTAATGGTTAAGGTCCTTTGAAAAAATATTTTTAAAAAATCTCCCATATGTTAGTGAATATATTAGGTGCAATTTTTTCTTCAAAAAATCCTCACTGAATGTCCTCCGAAAAATAGTCTTTAAACAATTCCCACTGAAGGTCCTCTGTAAAAAAATATTCAATAAAAAATCATGCTTGTAGTGGTGAAGGGCATTCAAAACCAGTATGGAAAGTAGTAAAGTCGGACTGGGCCGACTATATGATAC